TAAATAGTGTCTGATGAGAAAGGAATTTTTGTCCCTTTTCTTTCATTTGCATAATCCCTAAAGCAAACCTCTAATAATACTCAGTATCTAATTTGAAATCATCAACAATTGATAATTTACTACTCTGATATGGTGAGATGTTCAAAAACTATAATTATAATAAGAAATAAAGCACCCTCTTCTACCTGTATCAATGAATCAATAAGCATTTTGATCTCTTCCAATGTGTTCATTCTAAAACCCTGGGTGTCTGATAGATGTTTCCATATCTCCCCCCATCCACATCTTCAAATTTAGTCATAAAACATAGTTAGCCATGCCCTCTTCAAAATTTGGTCTGGGGGCGCCTGGGTGGCTCAGTCGTTAAGCGTCTGCCTTCGGCTCAGGTCATGATCCCAGGGTCCTGGGATCGAGTCCCACATCGGGCTCCCTGCTCGGCAGGAAGCCTGCTTCTCGCTCTCCTACTCCCCCTGCTTGTGTTCCTGCTCTCGCTATCTCTCTCTCTGTCAAATAAATAAATAAAATCTTTAAAAAAAAAAAAATTTGGTCTGAATTAATACTAGAGCCTCAAGAGTTTAGCCTTGGAATTAACACTAAAAGTAAGAAGTCCAATTTCCATGTGATTACTGGAAACTCCTTCACATCATCCAAACTGGGATCTAGAAAACTAAATTCCAGGTCAATCTCTTTCCATCTTTGCACAACTCAGACTCACAGAGTTCTATATCTTGTAAAGCTGAAAAATGCTGTTTTAATCCCCAGTGGGGTACAGTCTTAGGGTTTAGAGAATGTTACATCTCACACGTACACGGAATAATAAAATATATCAACATTTGGAAAATCTGCGTAACTCGGTGAAATGGTATTTTCCAAAGAATCAGTTCAGGATATAAATTCATGAGTGGTTTTTTTGTTTGTTTGTTTGTTTGTTTGTTTTAAAGATTTTTATTTATTTATTTGAGACAGAGAGAATGAGAGAGACAGAGAGCACATGAGAGGGGGGAGGGTCAGAGGGAGAAGCAGACTCCCCGCCGAGCAGGGAGCCCAATGTGGGACTCGATCCCGGGACTTCGGATCATGACCTGAGCCGAAGGCAGTTGCTTAACCGACTGAGCCACCCAGGCGCCCCATGAGTGGTTTTAAAAGATGCATTTAAAGTGTAAGCTAAACCAACAGATTTTAATGTAACAGAGTACACACAGTTCATTCCTGTTGTTTTAGATACAACATTGCAACTTGCCTTTATAAAATTACTGTGTTGGGGTGTCTGGCAGGCTCAGTCCCTAGAGCATGAGCATGAGCATGCCACTCTCAGAATCATGAGTTTGAGCCCCACGTTGAGGGTAGTGTTTACTTGAAAAATAAAAAAAATACTGTTTGTCAAGTTTTGACAATCAAAGACTATCTAAAAAGACTACTAAGATACTTCTCCATTTTCCAATTGAAGCCAGATTTTTTTTTATATACTTCAGTCAAAACAATTGGATGATAAAGCAAATACGAGAATCCAGCTGTCTTCTATTAAGCCAGCTAGTAGAGATTTGCAAAAATGGAAAACAATGTTACATTTCACACAAGTGTTATTAAGTTGACAGGCCATTGTGTTTGTTATTGTTTTAAATGAACTAATAAATATTTTTAAACTTTTCAGTCAGCTTTTATTTCTAATATGGTAAATATTGATGGATATGACCCATATAAACAAAGTTCTATGAAGTCCTCAATAATTTTTAAGTGTATAGAGGCGCGTGACACCAACAAGTTTGAGAACCACTTATATATAGAATTGTGAAGGTACTAAATCCTTTTTCTGGAACCTGCCTCTCAGACATAAGGAGCACTTCTTTTGTGATGCAGGAAGGAGATCAGCAACAATATACTGCTAACTCACATTAACTGAAGTAAAACTCTTACCTCCAAAGTTCTTTGCCACATTGTCTTGTAGAGCTGAAAACGTTGGATAAGGTATGAGTTAACCTGAAACATCCGTCAAAACCTGAAACATCTGTCATCTTCTGATCCAAATGGCTCATGTTTAAAATAGAAGTTAAAATTTAAATTAATTTTCAAATTTTATTCAATTGGCTGGTGTCATAGCTCTTTTGTGAAACTGGATCTCATGTCCCCTAATCTGTTGCTTGTGAATCAGTACTGGATGGCTGGTAGCCCTAATTCAGGCTTGGGACTCAGAAAGGAATTTTGGTTAAATGTGAAGGTTTGGGTATATCCACGGGCACACAGAATAATTCAGTCTGAGAGAGTCAGCGAGGGGACAGCAGAAAGCGGAAGTAGGTCAAATAAATGAACTTGGGATAAAACCTGAGTTAATGCTTACCAAGAAAAATGTAAAGAATAGAAAGCCAGGAGAAGGGTGCTAATGTTTTCTGAATATGCACAATGTTTATATTAGAAACCACTGGGTTACATGAGGAACCACTGGCTTACATTACCTCAGAGGAGACGTTAGGCCCTATATGAATCTCTTACTATAATTTAACTATACCATCATAACAACTCTGTAAATCAGCTATTTTCGTCATTTATCAACTAGGAAGTAAAGGTCTAGTGAGGTGAATACACTTCCAGGATCACACAAACGGATTCCACATCACACAATGCCACATCAAAGAAAGGGTTTGAATTTCAGGTCTCTCTTATCCTGGATCCTCCCTAAGAAAATCCAATATATATATAATATTCTACCCTCAAGAACTTTCATGTCTGGCTTTAAATTGTACTGGCCTCTTCTCTATTCTCTTGAGGTCGGGGGAGCTGATGCGTGGATGTGTAATGAGCTTTTATATTCATCCATAGTCAGGCAACGTTTTACTTTTTCTTTATGGGCCATGAATTATAAGTACAAGGGGACAAACAACAAATGTGTTTTTGTTTAATAAAGAAACCCCGTTTTACTAAATGTTCTCATTGCTGGAACTATTAGCATGGGGACAGCTAAATGCTGCTAAGCAAGAATCCGCAATCCTGCATTACATATAATATTCATGGAAATTTAGAGCTAAGGTTAAGTGTTCCTGTGGGGTCCCACAGCTAGACACTTGATACCCACGATTTTCACCCTACCCCTAAATAAGTTTAATCCATATTATATGTAAGAGTACATAAATTAGATAATATAGTTTATTTTATTTTTTTTTAAAGATTTTATTTATTTATTTGAGAGAGCGAGAATGAGAGAGACAGAGAGCACTTGAGAGGGGGCAGGGTCAGAGGGAGAAGCAGACTCCCTGCTGAGCAGGGAGCCCCATGCGGGACTCCCCGGACTCCAGGATCATGACCTGAGGGGAAGGCAGTCGCTTAACCAACTGAGCCACCCAGGCTCCCCTAGATAATATATTTTAAATTACAACTTAGCATTTAAAAACTACCATACAACTAAAATTCAAGAAACAGGAGTCTAAGTGGGATGAAATTGTGCTCTGAAATTTAAGCCAGTTCCTCAAGAGCTGAATCACCTAAGGCAGTGTTCAAACAAAGGCTGAAGCCTTGAAGGTTTGTAGAGGAAAATTAGTAAGTGGGTTTCCCCAGAGCAGTGTGAAGTCATCAGGCCGGGGTAATGCTTCCCAGAGGTGTAACCGCCGGAGGAGGGGGCGGTGCGGGCGGAAATGCGTGGTACTTTGCAGGTCGGCCCCTGGGGACTGGGTTGGCTGACTACCTGGTATTGCCATTAAATTCTTGACCTCTAAGCACATCCCCTAACACCACACCCTGCACGACTTGTTGAAAAGCATCGTTTCTAGTTTTACTCGATTTTTCTGTTTTGACTTGTTCACTATTGTCCAAAATATGTGATAAGGAGCAAAACCCCACTTTTCAAGGCCTAGCCGAGTTCCAAAATAAGTCCACACTTCAGAGAAACCTTGGAAGGGAAGGAAAAAAGAAAGAAAGAAAAATCTCTTTTTACCCTATAATAATTACAGCGGAACCGTCAATGGCCAAATCGGTGAATTTATAAATTCACTCTCATTTTTTCCTAAACAGTGCCACCTACTGTCCATTTTAAGTCATCAGGAGACGTGTTGGCGAGGACCATAGAGAAATAAGGGGAAAAGAGTCACCGGGAAAAGTAACTCTTCCCAGCTTTAGGGCATTGGGGGGGGGGGGGGAGGGGGAGATTGAGAAAAGAGCGTGTCAGAGCAAATAGCAGCATTCTGACTCGGTAGCTTCTTAGGCTCGCAAGAAGCAAAAGCCATTCAAGCCATTCTCTTGGAAATGGCTTTTACTCATCGCGCTACGTCCGAGTTCTCCAGAGCACGATTTTTATTTTATGTTTTATTTATAATGCGTGCTGTTTGAGCATTTTTACGTTAGGGGTTTAAGTTAAGAAAAAAAAATATGATCATGTTTCCACTTTTTCCGTCACCCAAGACGGTAACGTCTGTGTAAGGGAGACTCTGACACTTGACATCTGCTCAGAAACTTTTGAGCTCCTGGGAAGAAAGGGTTAACATGCGGTAGACCTGTAACTGATTTTATTTAGAGTCGCAGCCGGCTTTCGAATTTCCAGGTGTGTATATACACACACACACACACACACCCCAGCTATCTCTCCCCTGGGCTGTTACTTAGCCTAAGGGCACCATTTGGCCTTAAAGCAAATTAGTGAAACTGTGGGGAGTTTTTCGCGAAGAGGGAATCCTTGTAACTCAGACTGGAGTTCAGGGATGTCTGCAAAGCGCGGCCTCCCCGCTCCACCGCTGGAGGGAAGGAGGGAATCAGGTGGTGGCCAGCATATGTGCAGTGCATTTCTCTGCACACGTTAGCAATCAAGTTAATTGAATTCATTGGAGTTTAGAACCGGCCTCTAGCTCAGAGAGGGCTTTGAATGGCCAATTTCTCTTTCTTCCTCTACCCCTCCCCGCCTCCCGCCCGCCCGCCCGCCCGCGCTCCCAGTTCCCTCCCCTCCGGGTTCCCCAGTCCGCACCTCCCTTCTCCACTCCCCTCACCCCCCACTCCCTCCTCCGCCCTATTAAAACACCCACCAGCTCACTTGTTAAGACCCCCTTAAGTTGGAGGAGGCAGAAAGGCAACAACAGCGAGGAAGGAGAAGTCAAAACGTCTGGAAAGAATTACCCAGTCCTGGCTTCCAGCAGCCCATTGAACCAGGGACTTGAACCAGCCCCAGCCAAAGACTTTCTCCCGATTCTGCGCTTCCTGGGTTCTGCTGAGTCTTCACCGGGCTTTTCTTGATACGAAAAAGAAAAGAGACTTTCCGATATCAGGGGAGGGGGACCTGGAGCAAAAAATAAAATAAAATAAAATAAAGTTAATTTATTTTTAAAGCACAATTTTTTCTTTTAAGAATTAGACTGAAGTGCAACGGAGGTATTAAAAAGAACAGTAGTGAGATTTCCTTTTAAAGTGGGGAGAACCAAACATTTAAGACTCCCCCATCCTTTTTAAATGTTGTTTTTAAATTTTTTATTTTTTTTGGCCGGTCGTCTCAAATTCATCTGATCTCTTATTACCTCAATTTTGGAAACTGCCCGCCACCGACCCTCCGGGACCACACAGACAGGCTGAGGACAACTTTATGACCAAGAGCTGAACAAGGTACGTTACACTGGCGCGATATGGTGAACCAGGAGGGCCCCAGAATAGGCCAGGGAGAGGGAAGAAATTATCCACGTAAGTGTTAAATAATTGTAAAGCTGGTTTTCGACAGGAAAGTTTGAGGTCTGCCAATTTCCAACAGGCTGAAAATCAGGGGATATTTCAGATCACTCTCAGGCTTGGCACCCTGTCTTTTCCCATCCCTGCGGCGCTCGCCCGAAATCCGCTGCCTTTCTGGGAACACAGGTAACCTCTCTGCCTGGGAAAGACCGCACGTCCCGGGATGTACTTTTCCACTCCTCATCTTCCGGAGCCGCAGAGGGGCTCCCAAGTCGGGAAACAAGAATTTCCAGTGCAAGGAAAATGTATTCCGCACAGCCGCTCCCCCATCCCCTTGCCCCTTCCATCCCTTCCCTTCTTCCCCTCCCCCCAACCCTACGTGGGGAGGAAAGCCCTGAAACAGCCCAGCTTTTACTTTTAAGTGGGAAACCCGCTTCTTACTTGGAAAGCAAAGGGTTAAAGCGATCCGGGCTCCCAGCTCCGGAGAGCCAGGACCCCCGAGAAGAAGGGTCCTTGGCCACCTCCTCGCAGCTACCGGCCTCGCTCGGCCACTCCCACTTTCCCTCGCTTCCCCTCCTTTGCACTCCCCGGACCCCAGGAAAGTGTCAGGCTGGGTCGGCCCGGGCTCTGCCCGGCTCCGGAAGCCTTCCTCGGGCCAGGGGTCCCTGACGCAGGCGGTGGCGCTCGGGGACCCCAGCGGGAGGAGGGCGCGCGTCCCTCTCCTCGCCGCCGCCCGGGGGCAGGGCGTGCGTGGGGACCGCGCGCTGCAGCGCAGGCAGCTGCAACGGCCCGGGAGCCAACTCCGACGTGGCACCGAGCACGCTGGCGCTCCTTTCCGCAGCTGCAGCGCGGGGCCCGGCGGGTGGGGGGCTTGGGGGTGCCGTCCCCAGCGCCCGGCCCGGAGGTGGGAGCCGGGGCGAAGTGGGAGGCGAGCCAGAGGCTGGGTTGGGATGGATAATCAACACCTTGGGCGGAATTCGTCACGCCGGTTCCCGCCCAGCGAGAGCCAGGGCTCCGAAATGGGTCCCAGGGAACGGGAGGGCGGGTCTGAAAGGAGGGTCTGTGTGCGGGCGGGAGGGGATGGCGAGAGAGCCTTTTCTCTCTGGCCGTGCGGACTCAGCTGAGGGGAAACGGCGCTGAAAGGATAATTAAGGCTGGGAAGAGGGGCTGGGAGCGGAGAGGCTGTGCCTGGGGAGGAGGGCTTACGAGACCCGGGTCCTATTACACCGGCTTAGGTGCCAGCGCCTCTCCCTCCATCCCCCCCCCACCCCAAACGCCCGCGCGGGGGACTTGGACTCAGCTACCCTGCGCGCCCCGGGGCGAGCGAGCTGCTGCAGCCGTGCGCCCCTTAGGTGCGTGTAGGAGCCTTGGCCGCCCCTCCCTGGCCACTTCCCCACGCTTGCGGACTGTTGCAGCGGGCGTCTCCCGAGCAGCTGCCCAGAACCGCTGGGCTCCAACCCACGTGGCTGGCCTGGGATTGCCTTTGACGTCACACCCTGGGGGGAGGTGTGACGCAATAGATCGGGAAGCTCTGATTGGCTACGAAGGGCTTCCCCGAACTGCAGGCCTGAGTATATATAGACTTTCAGCTCTGAGTTAAAAGTGAAGGGAATTGGTAGCTGGGCTTTGCTGAGGAAGTGAGGGTGACTGAAAAGGGGGGGGGGAAAGCCTTCACTGCCTATTGTAGATTTCAAGCTTTTCTCCACGCAGATTTTTTATTGCAGTGAAGGAGTTGGGTAATGTACCTTTGGAAGCGTTAAACAGGATTATGATTTTTTAGAAAGGTAATTTTAACTTTTTAAAAGGTCAACACATATTCATTTTCAATGATGAAAGGTTTAAAATTAAAATGTGTATTTATATAGATTGGGCTAGGACAAATATTTATGCCCGTCAAACTGTTTGTAGATACGGTTTTAAATTTACAGAATAAGATTGAAAAGAATACTTAAATTCTAAACATTTTCTTTTCATTCCAATGTGTGCAAATTGACTCATTCATTATATTTTCGCTGCGTTTTTCTAGATGCTAAATAAGATTACTCGAACTACTGAGGTGCTGCATTTTTATTTTTACTTTTATTTTTATTTACTATCTATTTATTTATTGGTACTGCATTTTTAATACCCATCATGCTTATTGCAGGTCTTTTCACTACTTGGCTATTTTACATTTTCAATAGAAGGTTAACTCTTTAAAGTGCCTATTATAGTATTTATATTATGTCGTGTGTGAGTTTGCAGTTTTGGAATAAGTATTCAGAATTCTAGGTCAACATTTCTCAGTGACAGCTTTGGAATTAGAATATCAACACTCCTGTTCACTTTTTCTTACTTATGTATTTCCTGAGTTGGGGGAATAGAAAAATGTCTTGTAGACATATTGGCAAACGTATTACCTGGTATTGTACCTAGAACTAAATCTTTACCAGAGAAAGTTAAGCAGCTTTGATAAATTGAGGTCTTCAATCGATGATTAGTCTCAAATTTGAATGTTACTCTCTACAAATCAAAGATGAAGTAGCTGCCATCCTGGAACACAGGAATTGAGCAACAAATAAGAAATAAGAAACTTCCTAGAAAGTAAGTCAGATTGAAACTAATTGTTTTTGTTAGGTTTATAGAAGAGCCTCATAGTTTTGAATTTCGTAAACACTTTAATACATGGTTTCCGTACCAGCTTTCTTTTAAAACAATTTTTTTAAAGATCTTATTTATTTGAGAGAGAGAGAGTGAGAGAGAGCTTGAGCTGGGGTGGGGGAGGGGTAGAGGGAGACGGAGAAGCAAACTCCCCACTGAGCCGGGAGTTTCATGTGGGACTCAGTCCCAGGATCCCGAGATCATGACCTGAGCCAAAGGCAGACACTTAACCAACTGAGCCACCCAGGTGCCCCTAAAACAGTTTTTTTTTCCTTGAAATTTTAAGCACAGACCATTCACAGATTCATTTATCTATTTTTGGAACTGTGGGGAAAGCCCTTATGCATAATGTGTAGGTCCCCTTTGGCAAAGTTGTATTACAGTGTTACATTTTTTAACTGAAGTATAGTTCGCACACAAAGTTACATTAGTTTTAGGTGTATAACATAGTCATTGAACAAGTTTGACCTTCATGCTATGCTCACCACCAGTGTAGCTACCCAACCCACGTCCTCATCCAACAATATTACAATACCATTGACTGTATTCCCTATGCTGTACCTTTTACCCCGAGACTTGTTTACACAGTTACATTTTTTTTCAATCGAAGAACAAGTGGCTCGTTACGTTATTAGCTTCCTGACTTTTGCATAATATGGGAGTGATGAGTTAACAAAGTAACTGGAGAACAGAGCATAAACTCCACTGTCCCTTTCTGGGTTCTGTTTTTTGTTTTGTTTTGTTTTTAATCCAAATTCACTCAGGTTGTGTCCCACTAAGAGGCTGCAAGGACCAAGCCAGTTGCAGCTGGTATGACAGCTGAACGGGGGAGACAGCTCCCTGTACAAAGATCATTTCTACCCCAACTTGGTTTTAATCCTTTCCTCTCTAGGGGCAATCTGCATAGAATAAGTATCACCCCACTGCATATACCTTAAATTATTCAAGTATATTTTGAATGTCATCAACGTATACAGATGCATAGAGTTTGTATATATATTGCCTTGTCCATAATATATCTTTCCAAGTTACGCCCAAGGTAGGGCTTGAACTCATGACCCTGAGATCAAGAATAGCATTCTCTACTGACTGAGCCAGCCAGGTGCCCCTCACAGTCTAGGAAAATGTTGCTGATATAGGAGTCAAAATAAATATAATGAGGTTACACTCTTAAATATTTTTTTAAGATTTTATTTATTTATTTATTTATTTATTTATTTATTTATTTATTCATAAGAGAGAGCGAGCAGGAGTGAGCAGGAGCACGAGCTGGGGAGAGGAGCAAAGGGAGAGGGAGAAGCAGGCTCCCCACTGTGTAGGGAGCCAGATGTGAGCTGGATCCCAGGACCCTGGGATCATGACCTGAGCAGAAGGCAGACCCAACCGACTGAGCCACCCAAGCACCCATCTTAAATATTTTTTTGAACTTAAATAGTAAAATATTTATAAAAGAATGCCTCTAAAATGCATAATTTTTACTGCAAATTTTTAAAAAGCAAATAGGATGCAGTTCACATTTTAATGGAATTTGTCATACAAAAAAATATACTCAAAGAAGTCTTTATAAATAACCATAGTGTAAGGCAAAATATAATAGGGCCCATAAAAAAGTAAAATAATAGCTGTTTATCACATGTCTAATATGTATCAGGCACTGAATTAGATACTTTATATACATTATATCTAATTCCAGCGCCCATAAAGAAAATTTTGTAATTAAAGGAAACTTGCCTCAGAATGATTAAGCAACTCAGTCAAAGTCACAGTGTTAGAGAGGAGTGTGGATGCAATTTAATCCAATACTTCTTGAATGTAATGCCCCTGAGCTGAATTATGCTGCAGCTGGACTAGTCAAGTTTTATGGGGGCTTACACTGAGGAGAAACCACATCTGAGAGATCAGAAAAGATTTCATGAGGAGACTTGGCATTTGTGGTTCGTATGGCTACGTGGGATTCTGACCTATGAAAATAGTGTCCAAGAGCCAATGGAGGACGAACATAGAGAACTAAGATTGCATGCCAAGCCTTTCTGCAAACTTTACCCTTTGCCATGCTGAGTTTTAGGATGAAGTTTATGATGGTGAAATTCAGGAACCAATAGGGCAGTTGGGAGAAGTGGCATCCTAGGAGTGATCGATCAATACTGATGGTACAAATGATATCTGAAACCTACAGCTCTGGATCCAGACACAGCTGGGGTGACAAGGCCTTTGAAAGGCCTGTTGCCTAACCTTGCAAGCTTACTCGCTCCAGGGTCTCTGCTAGGATCAATGCAGTGGGACTGGAGAGACAAAGGCCAACTTCAAAGCCAGAGAGGAAGAGGAGGTCAGAAGGGGACAGGATGAGGGTCATGTGCTCTAATATGTCCCAGAGGGTAATGTGCTGTAATGTGAAGACTATTGAGAGGCTTCATTTGGGAACTTTTACCTCGGATTTCTGGTTGAGGACAGTAGCAGAGGTAATACAAAGGAGGGATGCGTATTGATACAAATAAATCATTGAAGTTTTCTTAGACTTTAACCCAGTGATTGCCAAACTTTGTTGTAATTAGAATTGCTTAAGATTTGAAAATTACTCATGCCCTGTTAACACCCCATAGCAATGAACTCAGAATGTTGTGGAAGCCACACATGAGTAGTTTTTACAGACCCCGCTAAGCAATGTGGATGTACGTGAAAATTGGGGAAGCCCTGCTTTTTACCTTTTCTCACCATGCCTTCCTAATCCACCCTTAGCAGGCAAATGGCTACAAGCAGCAGAGAATGTCTCATCTTACAAAGAAGCAGGTTTCCATGTTCCTTGGCTAGTGTCACCTGCCTAAGTTAATATTCTTAATTCTAATCATTCTACATATGACTGGAGGCCTAGCCACCCCAATCCCAGCCCCCAGAATACAAGTTAGGGGTAAAGAAAACCTGTGTTCTAGAACAGTTCTGCTATTTATGAGATGTGACTTTGAGCAATGCGTTCACTAGGGAAATATTCTTTACATATCTCCTTTTGGCCTCTGTATGTGTAAATATTGGCTACAAATTAAAAAGACAGCAATCTAGTCTTCAGTGGGTTTTAAAATATAATGAGGGAGAGGGACAAGTGCACTTTATCATTTAAGTTAGTCTTTCTTTACATTAAGACATTAAAGCTATTAGTATCCCATTGAAGCTGGGATAAATATATATATATTCCTTGCCTACATACAGTAAGCCTGCAAAAAGGTTGCATTCCTGTTTTGCAGATGAGGAAATAAGGCTCAGGGAGTAGATAGATGCCAAAAGGAATTTACTCTTTGTACTCCTCCTTCAGGTGAAGAGCATGCACATTGCAACATACATTCATCCTTATAGACACTCAGCTATGGGTGGTAGTGATATGAAAATAAAGTTTCAACCCTATCCCTAAAATTTGAAGTTCAGAGATATTGATTGCATAAGGACACATGGCTCATTCACAGGAACTGTCAGGTAGTCCGATAGCTAAAATGAGGCAGAGCTTGGGCTTCAATCCATTTCTTCCCAGTCCAGCTATGCTCACTATGTCATGCTCATCCCTTATTAACTAACAGTGGATTAGAGGGAAGGGGAGTCAGACTGATTGGGTAGTTAGCAGGAAAGAAACTGTTGGTCGTTTTTTTTTTTTTAGGTACTTAAATGAGTTCTCTCTTTTAATGTAAAAATCTGTTTTGTCAAGTCCATATGATTATTTCCGTTTTATCTTAGATGAAGAAACTGAAGATGTCTAGTATTATGTAACTTGCTCAGTGTTACCACGCCATTAAAAGGAAGAGCCCCGAATCTGTCGCAATTCAGTCTGGTTCCAGAGACGTGGAGGCATGCATGCCACACACAAGTATACACACACACACACACACACAAGTCATTAGAAACAAACACAGAACAGCATATGGATCGATGGACAGTGAATAGTGTAAGAGTACCAGATTTGAAGTTGGTAAAAGATTATCTCATTATCCCCCATGCCCCAGCCTTGACCCCTGAATTCATAAGGTTCGTCAAATTGTAACTCGCAGTTTCTGGAAATGCTTTTGGAAGGCCATTTGCCTTTTTTGACTTTATCATCCTGAGGTCTTCACTAGCTGGTCTGGTACTCCCGACAACCATTACATTTAGATAGCTGGGCAAGAAATTATTATTACTTTTTTTAAAGATTTTATTTATTTATTCGTCAGAGAGAAAGAAAGAGAGTGAGCACACAAGCAGGGGGAGAGACAGGCAGAGGGAGAAGCAGGCTCCCCACCAAGTAAGGAGCCTGATGCAGGACTCAGATCCCAGGACCCCGGGATCATGACTGGAGCCGAAGGCAGACGCTTAACCAACTGAGCCACCCAGGCATCCCTGGGCAAGAAATTATTAAAAATAAAAGAAAAAAAACCCTGCTGGAGGAGAGGTACCCTTAAGGGTTCAACATATATTCATCGGCCCTGCAGCAAAGATAGGAGAGGGATCTGTTCTTAGTCTGCATTGACTGCCTGAGTCCAAAAGGACTTACTCATTTATTCAGCATGCCTACTATGTGCCAGACCCTGTTTTTGGTACAAGAACACACAGTTGATAGAGATCATCAAGTCCCTGTAGCCATAGAGTGTACATAGGGCTAGTTAGAAAATCAAGCAGAATCTGGGGAGCAGGACAGGGAGTGAAGAGAGGGAGGAATCATTTTAGAAGGGAGTGGTAAGCTAAGACCTCTCTGAAGAGATAGCACTTGGCCCCTACTCTCTGTAGCCTTTCCCAGATGCTGGCGACTAATTTGAATTCACTTCCTCTTCTCCCAGATCCCAGACAGAAGGACCGCTTCGTGAAGCTATGGGAACTCAGTTCTTGCCACTGCGCTAGTGTTCTGGGAGCAGCTGTTGTTCTGGCTCATCCCACATTGCCTTCTGGTTAATAAGAGGTCAAGGGGGAAAGAGGGCTCTGATACCCAGTGACCTACAGAGTCCAACTTGGGGTATGTGAGCTAACAGCAAGGTTTCTATCTGCTCTACAGGTGGAACAATGAATGCAGGAGCGCCTTTCTCATGGTAATAAAGCAGGATTTTGGCTGCAGGCATGAATAGCACTGCTGTTGCTTAGACGCAACCACCGGCTTTCTTTGGGATAAGGTCATTCTATGTCCTTTTCGGCTGCATCCACGTAGAAAAGTATATGAGCCCAGAAATCCTCCCAGAGTGTTGGCTGATCTTGTATCCGTTCCTGACTGTCAATTCCCCATTTTCCATAATAGCAGGAAAAGAGTTTTTTTTTTTTTTTTTTAAGATTATTTATTTATTTACTTGAGAGAGAGAGAGAGAGCACAAGCAGGGGGAGGAGCAGAGGGAGAGGGAGAAGCAGGCTTCCCACTGAGCAGGGAGCCCGATGTGGGGCTCGATCCCAGGACCCCGGGATCATGACCTGAGCCAAAGGCAGACGCTTAATGACTGAGCCACCCAGGCGCCCCAGCAGGAAAAGAGTTTTTGAGGTTCATTTCTAACATTTCCTTACACAAGGAAATGTGGTATTAGCCAGAGACAAAAGGATGCTGCCTGTTGTGTCGTGATGATTCAAATCCATTCAGTAAATATTTACTGAGAATCCTCTAATCTGGCATTATGCTACCATGTGGACCCTACTCCTGGTTTTGGGACCATGTGGACAAGTTACTTATATACTTAAGAGTCTTGGTTTCCTCGTCCTTTGAGATGAAGAATACATTTACCATTTAGAGCTATTAAGATTAAATAGGATCATGTGACTCAACAAAGCAGACAAGACTTGCCCCGGTGCCTGAAGCCTAATGAATGGTGAATGTTAGCTGATATAACAATGATGCCAATGATGATATTGATGCAGGAAGTTACATCCATTCATTCAGCAAATATTTACTAAATATCACCCATAAACCAGGCAGTGTTTTATGTCCTTGGGGCACATTATTGAAAATAGATTTAAAAAAAAGCTGTTGACTTTGTGGAACTTACATTATGATACATCAAGGTATTCTTTTAACACTTGGCTTAGCTTAGAATTTACTGTGAAGACTAGTACTTATTGAATCACTGGTATCAGGTCTAGTATCAGCTTAAAAATCAATTTTAAGTTTTGATTTGGGCAAAAAATCCAAGTTTTATGTTTTAAATACTTATGGAAGGTGGATTTCTAAATCCTCTTTCCATGTAGCAGTAAACTCTTATGATCCAGGATGGAACTAACCATATTTTCCAATTTAACAATAAAGCCATATGTCTGACAAGGAGAGTTTGCTTATGAAGCAGAGTATCTGAATTGAGGATTGTCTCAGAAAGTCTCACACATATGGTGCCCATATCTATGAAATTGCCCCCAGGGCGGGGAGTTATAAAACAACACACACTGTGTGTCACTCCCGGAGATCAATGTATTCCCTCGGTAAAGTTTGCTCTGAAATGTGCCTTTTGCCCTTTGGCCTGGCCTGAGATGCTGCATGTGTCGTAACGGGCAAGAATAGGATACATGGTAGAAATATAAAGGTTCAATTTTCACCGTGTTGCAGCAGTTTACTAGCAACTTTTCCCAGGCTTCAAAGGGACATTCTGGAGACTCCTCTGATGTAAGAGGGTGTTCCCACTTCAGCTGGGGCCAGCAGATGCTATGCGAACACTCTCTTTGTCTACGTGTGCTGATAAAAGCAAGGAAAATATGAATAATGGAAAAGAATGGCAGGCAGTTCTTTTACTGGCTCTGGTGATGTTAAACACAAGCAAAACACACACTTCAGCTTCTCCCTGGCAGAGTGTTGTAGCCCCCTTGAAATTTTTCACTCTTGTGAGAATGACTCATGTCTTGGAAACGACAAGTTCCAAGTCTGGTGCTCCCCGTACCTTTAGGCATTGGTTAAGGTGCCCGTTGGCAGTTTTCGGCATCCTGTCAGCTGTTTTAATTAACTAGGGATGCTGTGCTCTCTTGCCTTTCACTGGGAACTCCCCATTTCACCGATCCCCAGCACCAAGAATTTTCCATTGTGTTGGGATTACCTGTATCAGCCTCTGATGTCCTACGTAAGTGCTGGAAAGGAGAGACACATCTGGGTATGTTGTTTTCGCTTCCTTGTTAGCCGATACTTTGGTACTTTAAACTGCATCATGATTTTGGTTTTTTAAAACCCTTTCATAAACACTTTGATTTGGCTCCTCATATCCTCTCCACTTAACAAAAGAAAATAATGCCCACAAGCTAGAATCCTGGTCTCCAGGGTGCTTTGCATTACCTAGGTTGTATTAGTTAGGGTGAAATGGACTCAAAATTCATAGTGGGTAAGCAAACAAACACAAACTCAGCAATTAATTCTGGCTGCCTAAGCATCCAAGGCAGGTCTTCCTGATTGGTGGCTGGCTCCCTTCCACGTGGCAGTTCGAAAACAAGGATCCCTCTATCTCTGGGCTCTGCAATCCCCAGGGACCTTGCTGGTCTGTGCATCAAACCTGCAGAAGGAAAAGAGAGATTGCAGGAGACCCGCCCTCAAGTCCCTTTTGAAAGTGGCCCATCTCAGGTTTCCAAAAGCTGGAACACCAGGGCCAGCCACCCCAAGCCATCTTGTGCTTAGGAGAGGAAACACAATTATCCACTCAGGACCACCTCAGTGTGTAACTCCAGGCACTGGAATAAGAAAGGTGCCTCTTGGATCTGAGTGATGTGTTGGCCACACAACTGGTAACAACCAACATCATACCAGGTGCTGTGTGGACATTCAATTTTAAGTCAGTTTGGAGTCGGAAAATAGAAATAGCGCATCCAGCAAGGGACTTTGCAGAGATAATTGCTTACCTTAAGTTTCCACTTAAAATAGATTTACGGGCGCCTGGGTGGCTCAGTTGTTAAGCGTCTGCCTTCGGCTCAGGTCATGATCCCAGGGTCCTGGGATCGAGTCCCCACATCGGGCTCCCTGCTCAGCAGGAAGCCTGCTTCTCCCTCTCCCACTCCCCCTGCTTGTGTTCCTGTTCTCGCTGTCTCTGTCATATAAATAAATAAAATCTTTAAAAAAAAATAGATTTACTTACGTTTCAAAAGCTGGATGAATTCAAAAAAAGGTCAAGTATTAATTATATATAGATATGACAAAAACCCCGAATTCAGTGTAAATGATTGAAGATGGGGACGCTGCATTTCTACCAATGATGACCTTCATTATAGTTCGTTATTGGAAGAGGAAGAAAATTAATTTGGGGGGAAAATTGTTATTATGGCTTATAATAAGATCTTCATCTTGTGCCTGGCACAGAGCTTCTAAAACCCTTGGTATTTTTGAAGTGAGACGATAGATAGAGGTGTCTTTTGTTATGTTAATGGATGACTTTAAACCGGTCTAAGTAAGGGTGGGGACTGGTGGCTAGTGGAACCAACCATTTGATAGGAGGATTGGGGCATCCAGTCCCACCCCCAGACCTCTGGGGGGTAGAGAGGGGCTGGAGATTGAGTTCAATTGCCAGTGGTCGATGATTTAATCAAATATGCCTATGTAATGAAGCTTCCATAAAAATGCAGAAGGAGAGAGTTGGGAGGGCTTCTGGGTTGGTGAACACAGAGATTTGGGGATTGTGGTGCTCTTGGAGAGGCGTAGAAGCTCCGTGCCCATTCCCCAGACCTTCCATCTGGCTGCTCCCGAGTTATGTCCTTTTATAATAAACCAGTAATCTAGTGAGTAAACAGGTTTCCTGAGTTCTGTGAGCCACTCTAGCAAACTAATCAAACACCAGGTGGGTGGGTCTTGGGAACCTCTGATTTATAACTGGTAGATCAGAAGTACAGGTCACAACCTGGGCTTGGGACTGGTATCTGAAGTTGGGGAGATGGGGGGCAGTCTTGTAGGACTGAACCCTTAACCCGTGGAGTCTGATGCTATTGGGTAGATGGTGTCAGAATTGAGTTAAATTGTGGGACACCCACTGTTGCCTGGAGAATTGTTTGTTGGATATATGGGAAACATCCTTCCCACCCCACACTGGAATGGGGTCCAGGAGCCCCCAAAGACAAACAGAATAACAAAAGTCTACCAGGTAACTCTTCTATGTTCAGCTTTGGAGATACTTAAGGAAATACGAAAAAATTGTCCTCCTATACTCTCGTTGTTCAAAACCTTATTCAGGAGTTATACAAACCCCAGGGAGGAGTACATAACTGGCTGCTATTAAAAGCTGAAATGTGTTTCAGGTCTAATGTATTACAGCTTTCAGAGGTTGGGGAAATTCACCTGTTGAAATTAAGCATGATGCTATTTCTTCCTTAATTTATGAATTATTTCTAAAAACACTTATTGTGTGCTTACTGTGTTACAGTAAGGTTTCTGATCCCCAGGATCTAACCATCTGGTGTTAGTGCTGGTGGATGGAGGAAATAGACTTCTGAACAAAGGAATGCAAATCAGAATTACGGGGGCTTGAGAGATGTATGTACAGGATCCCCAGGCATAAAGAACTTTTAATGTCAACAGAGATTTGGAGTCTAAACTCCTTCATTTAACAGATTAAAAAACCTGAGGCTCAGAGAGATAAAGTGACTCTCTCAAGGTCACACAGCTAGTTGTTGGAAGAGTTAGTACTAGAATCCAGGTATCCTGATCTCCAACCTCAGCTGGCTGCATGGAAATTGTGAGCTGAGGGATTTGCATTGAAGAGGAGATGAAATTTAGCAAAATCTCCTATGCATTTTTCACTGGTCAGTATTGGGAGGTCGGGGGCAACATGGTGTAGGAAGAAAGAATGCCTTGCTCACTAGGATGATTAGGTTCTACACCTAGTTATGACCACCTACACAGAGTGCATCCGTAGTAAAGGATCTAACATACTAAAAATAATACTTCCATGTATTTGTTCAACATGTCATGGTTTTCAATAGCACTTTGCCACCATCATCTCATTTAAACAGCCCTCTGGGGTGTACCAGAAGGGCATCCTTATCCCTATTTTGCAGATGAGAAAAACACGCAGCTGGTTAAGTGAGAAAGTGTGGTTGGAGCTCTCGGGTACTTCTAGTCCAATACTCCCCATGATGCCATGTTTATAACAAGTATGGGACAAGAGTGGTTAACCAAGAGTATCATTTGATTATATTACAGATGCATTGTGAGAGGTTTCTATGTATCCTGAGAATAATTGGAACCACGCTTTTTGGAGTGTCTCTCCTCCTCGGAATCACTGCTGCTTATATTGTTGGCTACCAATTTATCCAAACAGATAATTACTATTTCTCTTTTGGACTGTATGGTGCCTTTTTAGCATCACACCTCATCATCCAAAGCCTGTTTGCCTTTCTGGAGCACCGAAAAATGAAAAAATCCCTAGAAACACCCATTAAATTGAACAAAACTGTTGCTCTCTGCATCGCTGCGTATCAAGAAGATCCAGACTACTTACGGAAATGTTTGCAATCTGTGAAAAGGCTAACCTATCCTGGGATTAAGGTTGTCATGGTCATAGATGGGAACTCAGAAGATGACGTTTATATGATGGACATCTTTAGTGAAGTCATGGGCAGGGACAAATCAGCCACTTATATCTGGAAGAACAACTTCCACGAGAAAGGTCCTGGTGAGACGGATGAGTCACATAAAGAAAGCTCACAACATGTCACCCAATTGGTCTTGTCCAACAAAAGTATTTGCATCATGCAAAAATGGGGTGGAAAAAGAGAAGTCATGTACACGGCCTTCAGAGCACTGGGACGAAGTGTGGATTATGTGCAGGTAGGTTTCCGAATTCCTGCCAGGGCAAACATACATTTAAATAAAGCAGCTTTTGTATCTCTTCAGGCATATGCTATAGCCCATCCTTGTCCCTCTGAACACAGTACTTCTTTCAGTTCATTTGAAAACAGCGTGACTGCTGAAAGCACATTTTGAAAGAGAGGAAAAAAATCTTGTGTAACTGTTAATTATCTACGAAAATGCTTAACTTATGCAGTGTTATTGGTTGGAAATCAAGATTATTTTGAACAGGAGACCCTTCCTTCCTTCTCATTCCCTCCCTTACCTTCTCTGCCCCCTTGGTTCTGCCAAGTCAAATCCAACGTCATTTTCCACAGTCTTAAAATCTCCAGCCTTGTAAGAAAATAGTGTCTGCTGAGCAGAAAGGTCCTGAGAAAATCTGCAGGCTCAAGAGATGGCTATAAAACGTTTTTCACAGAGACTGGGCAAAATGGGGTTGGTGAGAACAATTTTGATTTAAAAGGGTAAGGAATTCAAAACTGAGAGACAGAAAGAAAAGGAAAACAAAAAAGGGAGAAAAACAAACACACACAAAAACCCTTCCCAGAGCAAAACCGAAGTAATGTTTATTTCACTCCCCAAACAGCATTACCTCACTCACTGCACTTGACCTTTGAAAGCATTTGTGATGGTGTTTGCTCTCATGAAAATGAGACAGGCTGTGTCTGTCATTAATTCCCTGACTGCTCGCCCTTGGGTTTCTCCCCTCTTAGTTCTCATTGAAGCTTTCTTCAGAATGTTAGTAGGGTCCCTGTGAATTTGCTAGTTGCAATTTTCTTGCAGATAATTTAGTTAGATTTTGGCCATGATGATGTGGAAAAGGGAGACCTATCTCTGATTTAAGAAAATCCATTGGGACACCCCTCCAGTCCTCTAATAGGTGAAATTCTGCTTTTCAGGAGACCTATCATATACTTTAGGGGCCTTGATTGCCACAAAGTCATGGCTGGTGGGATGACAGGCTCTGTGTTATGGGATGGGAATGGGCACTGGTTTCAGAGTCTGTTGACGGAGGTGGTAATCCAGGCATTGTTAACTGGATGACCTCGAGCAGGACCACCTCCCCAAACCTCAGTTTCCTGCATAGAATAAACCAATCTCATAAGGGGTTTAAGATTACCATGAGGTTAATTTTGGTTAATAGCTGAAGAGTTTTGAGGCATTTTTTTTTTCAGTTGATACCAATCTGCATATTAATATCTTCTAGGGAGTTGATAGAGTTTAACTCCCAAGTTTCTCCTATTCTCCTAATTTCTAGAACTGTCACAGTTGAGGTACTTTCTAGTTAACTCAGGACATTTTTATGTATTTTCATAATGCAACTTCAGGCCCCGATAGAGGATGAAATGATCCTTTTATTTATTTATTTTAATAAATATTTTCTCTCTTTTTAAAAAGATTTATTTATTTATTTATTTATTTATTTATTTATTTATTTGACAGAGAGAGAGAGCACAAGCAGGGGGAACAGCAGAGGGAGAGGGAGAAGCAGACTCCCCACTGAGCAGAAAGCCTGATGTGGGGCTCGATCCCAGGACTCTGGGATCATGACCTGATCCAAAGGCAGATGCTTAACTGACTGAGCCACCCAGGGGCCCCTATAATGATCCTTTCAAAGGAAGTGATGGGATGGCTGGGGAACTTACAGAGGGTTTGAAGAATGAAGCTCTGAGCCTAAAATGAGGAAGCATGTTTTGATATTTTGCCTTTAATTCTAGTTGAAACTATTGCTATGTTTGTCATTTCTAATCAAGATGTCATTGTGAGGGTTTCTTTTTTCTTTTCTTCTTTTTTTTTTTAAGCCTGTTCCAAATCCCCTGCTCCCATCATTCTTGTTTTGAATTTTGTTTGTATCCTTGACAACTTGACATTGTGCCTGACCAGGACAAAATAACACAAACTATGAAATGTTAGAGTAGGCTCCTTGCTAGAGCCCTAATCAGGCTCTCAGAGAGACCGACCCAAGCAGCAGCTTTCCCTGGGCCCTGAATCCTGCTGGAACTCTCAGCCCACTCACACAAATGTGGAAAACCTTTTGGCATTCTGAAACCAGGTGATTCCATGCTGCCATCCCTCATCACATCCCCCAATATTTAACCATGTGTTCCCTATAAAAATGGAAATGTCATAAAGGTCAAACCAGTACATTCCCACCATCCATTCTGAGTGACCCAGTGTCCGAGCATTGCAAAGCAGAAGCCACAGAAAGACAAAGGAGAGGGGGTTAAGCATTACAAGTGACTGAATGTGGAGAGCAGGTTGGCCACAGAAAGAAGAAAGTCAAGTGTAGGTGCTCATGCACAAGAGAAAGTAGGGCTGGGCCAGACACAGGACCATCTGCTCACATGCTTGCTAACCTGGCTGAAGACACTGCTTAGCTGTGTGGACACGGCCAAGACGATTGGTCTCCTCCAGTTGCAGTTGGGTCTTGGACACTGGTTAGCTCTCTTCCCACTTGATCTTGAGTAGATGTCCTGCCTGTTGTTTCTCATGACCAATTATTTCATGCCTTCACCATTCTCCCAGCGCCTACCCAAACTCCTCCCTAACTAACACATGGCCCTGCCTCCTACAAGAGAAAATCAAACGTACTGCTTCTGAATGCTATCAAGGTCTTCTTTTCTCTTCCTTTTTTACAGTTGCAAAGGTACCCAGCTTCACTTCCTATCTCAAGGTTAACCTTTCTTTCTTTTTTTTTTTTTAAAGATTTATTTATTTGACAGAGAGACAGCGAGAACAGGAACACAAGCAGGGGGAGTGGGAGAGGGAGAAGCAGGCTTCCCGCTGAGCAGGGAGCCCGATGTGGGGACTCGATCCCAGGACCCTGGGATCATGACCTGAGCCGAAGGCAGACGCTTAACGACTGAGCCACCCAGGCGCCCCACAAGGTTAACTTTTCTGCATACACGCCTGGGCTCTCTGGGTCACCTGGGCTCTCTGGGGCGGCTCCCTCTGGTCTTTGCCAGAGCAAGGCCCTACTACCTGTCCCTCCACCTCTCTCAGCTCTCCTGTTTAGTCTTCTCGACCTAAAGCCAGTCAAATAACTAACACTGACCTAGAATACGGAGAGAAGCTTTAGTCTAGGAGAAAGCCAGCGTGGTAGCAAATTCACCCAGGATGTTAGTGGCTGCTTTCGGAGATAAAGAATACAGGAAAACATAAGTAATGAAATGAGTAAAGAAGGAAATGAGAAATAAAGAGGAGAATGGGGAAGATTTTCTGAATTTTGAATCAGTGTTTTCTGGAGAGAACTTTTTTTTTCTCCAAAAGAGATTCTGATCTGTCCCGTATGGCTTAAGTAAGGTAGGGCAAAACCTTTCTTACTTTTGCAAAATAGTACTTCTATTAGCTTTTTTATTTACTATAGGAACACATGGTGGTGTGTTTAAAAATACGGAAAAGCACAATGAGCAAAATTAAAATCCTCCACAGCACATACATGATGCACAGATTCTCAAATTTGATACTTGATAGCATATGCCTTTCTAATTTTCCCTTATTTTGAAAATAGTTTTCAGATTACATTGTACTTATTTTTTTTCATTTGTTTGTTACTTCTTCACAATGTCAGAAGACTTTTTAGGTGTACTTTGATACCTAGATTACATGATTTCTTTATTCTTATGTCCTATTACTGAACCTGGATAATACAACATAAGTGGCCACTGATAACCATGTGACCAAGGTAACTATCATTATCCCCTGATGTGTGGTATTAGGGATATTCCAAGTAGAAAATACATAAGAAGCATAAGCATGTTCTACCAGGGAAGATTATAGGAGACAATTTTATGATTAATTTACTTTGACAGTATCCTAGGTATCCATGTTCCCTTTAGCAGGAGAAAAGTAAGACTAAATTATTCTTAATTGTAGAGTTGACCTTCATTATTCATGGAGTCTGTATTTGTAAATTACCCCACTCAGTAAAATGTATTTGTAACCCCCAAATCAGTACTTGCAGTGCTTTTGTGATCATTTGCAGACGTGCAGAACAGCATAAAATTTGAGTCACCTGATGTGCGTGTTCCCAACTGAGGTCAAAGAAGACTGCTATAAACTGTCCTGTACGTGGTACAGCACAGCATAAACAAGTAACTTCATAATCTACTTTGTATCATGTTTTTCACATTGTTGTGCTTTCTGTGGGTGATGTTGCTGTTTAAAATGCACCCCCGCTCAAGTGTAGTACTGGGCTAGTGTTCCTGAGCACAAGGCTGTGACTGCCTTATGAAGAAAATAGATTTGTTGGGGGGCTTGGATCAGCTGTGTTAATGACTCCATTTCATATAATAAGATGTATTTAAACAGGAACGCAAGTAAAACAGGGTTCGGTATTGATCAGTAGACAAAAATTTGTGACCAGAGTCTCAGAGGAACCCAACCCCATATTTGTGCTAGAAGCAATTGTTTTGCTGTTCTCTAAGTCAGTGTTCACGGAAACTTTGTGGAACGTAACTGTCATGAATCGTGAGAATCAACTATATGTCAAATTTGCTTGGTTCCTGTTCTCTATGGGAAGCCTAAGCAATTGAAATATTCCAAGGGCCGATGTTGAGAATGCTTTATGTCTTCTTGTATCATCCATACTAGAGGGTAAGTAAGATTAGAGTTCATTGAAATAGGAATGGGGAAGTCTGAATTCTAGACTTAACTCTGTTGTTTTCTTGCTAGGGTAGAACAGATGATCTTCGAGATCATTCCCAGCTCAGAACTCTAACTCAGTACGATTGGTTTTCTTTTTTTTTAATTTTTTTCCAGTACAGTTTTAATTTCTCTGACATTTTAATTTCTTTCTAGCAATACACCTAGGCTTTGGATGAGTATAATAAAAAAACAAAGCAAAAAAAGGGGGGGGGAGGGTATCAGAATCTGCTTTTCACTTAGCAGTTATTATCATGTTTTCACTTTCATTTTTATCTTTTCATTTTTATTTTATTCTATCTTTTTAAGATTTTATTTTTGAGTAACCTCTACAC